AGATTTTTTTAAGTCCTATAGGTTTCTGTTATACTTAAATTAATTTAACAATTTATTATGTCTTAGAATTTAAGATATATTAGTCAAACTCGTAATGATGAATTTAATAATAAATTAGTATAAAGTATTATAACAAATTCTAGATGAGAGACAACGTTGAAGAGAAAAGTAAATTTGTATAGATTTAAATTGATTCCTTTATTAATAATACTGAAACTTACAATCAACTTACAAATGAGTTAATTTATAACTTAAGCAAAAATCTATTCTATTTATATAAAAATAAATTTGTTATAGCTAACTACTTGTTATAGTATAAACTAACTATTTTAGTAAACTTTGACTATAAAATAATAATAAAAGATAATAAAATAAAAATATAAAATATAAGATAAATAATAACAATAATAAAAATAAAAGAAATAATAAAAATAATAATTATAACAAAAATAATAAATATATAAAAAATTTAATAAATAAGCCAATCAAATAAATTAGGTAAATCAAATGAATTTTGTAAATCCTACAAATTAAATAAATCAATCTGATTTTCTAATGTAGTATGTTGATCAAGATCTTTCTTAATATAATCTACATGAAATTAAATTCAATGACTTTTGTAAATCATTTTTCTAAAACAAATTTTCAAAATATTAAAAATTTGTCAAAAATTTTCTTAACATATATAAATAACTAGTTAAATTTATAATATAGTCAACACTTGATATAGCGAACTCTTGATATAATGAATTATTTGAATAAGTACAATAAAAATACTCTTGTTATTGTGAAATAGCCAATCAAATCTCTTAAAATCTTCATTATAGTCTTATAGTAAAGTTGAAGTCTAAGATATAGAGTTCGTTATAATAAGTGTTGTCTGTATTAGTTATATTTAAATTATTATTATCAAATTGTAAATTACTTATTTTAAAATAATATACATTAATAAATTATCATCTGATTTACATATTGAAAAAAATAAATTGCTATTAGTATTGATAAATATAGTAACTAAAAGATAAAATAAAGAATTTATATTTTAAAAAAATGAAATATAACATATTGTTTAGATATTAATTTATATATGATAATATTTTTTCTAATAAAATTTCTTTCTTTGACATATATAAAATAAATTCATTTTCTTATAATAGATTATTTCAGTTATATTTATATGAAAAATATTTGAAGTTATAATATTAAATAATTAAGTATTAATTTTTTACAACTAAAAAATTTATAGATATATATTATTAATATATTAAGGTAATCCAATATTTTTTATTTTTTTTTTCTATTTATCTTTCATTTCATGATTTAATTATTAGTTCTAAAATTCTATTATTTTGAAATTAACAAATTTATTTTACTTTAATTAAATTTTGCTTGATTATTAGGATAATTGAATTTCATTTAATTGATTATTTAATAAAATCATTCAAATCATAAAAATGCATTATTAGATACATAAGTTTGAATTTTGCAATATATTCATTAAACTATTTATATAAAATAATTCTTTTTGTTTTGATTCAAATAATAAAAAAAATTTTTTGAAAAGTTTAGAATATAATCTCATTTCATTTTTGATGAATTAGAAAACTCAGGTACTAGTTTCAACTTAGATTTTGAATTTACTAATCATGATAATTGTATTATTTTTGAAACTCATTAATAAAAGAAGATAGATCATCTAAAATAAATTTATCATTATTAAAATCAAATTTACTAATATCATCTATATTAAAATAATCAAAGCTATTATTATTTAAAAAGTTAGGAATTACTTCTAATTAGTATGATATTAAGATATAATAATATAGAATTATTTTATCATTTAACAATTTAATCCCTAATACTTTAATAAATCTAAACTGCATTATCATATACTACTTTGATTACATCATGAATAGCATTATCAACAAGTCATATTTGCAAAATATTATTAATGTAAAATTTGGATTAAAGTCAAATATATAATCTATAAATAAAATAATTATTAATTATATATCATTTGTAAAATAAATAAATTTTTAGCTTATTTATCTGATACTAATGTTGTTTCTTTTTGAATTTGTATATTTTACCTAATAATTTTATTCTGGTATGCAATACATTGTTGAATTTTAAAAAATTTATAAAAAAAATTACATATTATTTGATATGATATATCAAATAAATATTTTATTACTTTAATACTATATTCTCAAAGATATAAGTAAAATTTATGATGAGATATAATTAAAAGTATTAAGGATTCTGTTATACTAATGAAAATTTCAGACCACAATATTGTAATACAAGTTCTTTTTTAGGGTCAGGCAAAATTTGATATCACACAAAATTCAGCCGCAAAAAAATCAACTAATATAATACTAACCCTAATAATAAATTACGGGCGACGTAGAGTCAAAATACGATATGATTGTCACGTGCGTAATAATATATAGATCCAAAAAAAGAGATCAGAAAAAAATTTTTTATTTTTTTCTTCGAAATAATGAACTCAGTTTGTAAGTTTTCGGTTAGGAGAATTGGAAATTTACTTTCTTTAAATTTAATAAAGTCACCTACAGCTACTTTGGTGTATAGAAACCAGGTAGAGCACCTAAGTTCTAAATCATTTACTTGTTAGTTACTTTCAACTTTTTAATTAAATAATTCGTTCTCCAACTGGGATGTTTGAAATTCCATTAGCAGGGTTTAAGGAATTTGAGGAACATTAACACTTTAAATAATAGTGATTCACCAAAACTTTTTAATTATCATTTACCTAATAATAAAAAATTCTACGGTAGTAATTTGAGATATAGTACTACAACTTCAAAGCCACAACCGACACCGCCTAAAAATTTTAAAGAAATCGTAAAAAACCGTAACGTTGGGGTAAACCTATTATTTTTCATCGGAAAAAACCTTTTTAATTAATCGAGAATCAAATTTAAATTTATTATTATTATTATTCTTGAATCGACAAAATGAATAGCCCTTTTCATGGAAGGGATTAGTAATATTCATTTTAACAGGATTGGGTTTATTAGCTTATTTTAAAAATGAAAAAAAAAAGGTATTGGAAAAACGTATGTATGAATTCATTACATTTTTGAACTATTAAATGATTCCTTTCAAATTAATAATCTCACTTTGGAATAAATAGGTAATAGAGAAATCGAAAATAAGTCATTAGGAAAACCAAAAATAGGAGGACCGTTCGAATTATTAAATCAAGATGGAAAATTAGTTACAGATAAAGATTTACTTGGAAAATTTTTATTAGTTTATTTTGGGTTTACTCATTGTCCCGATATTTGTCCTGAAGAGTTAGATAAAATGTCTAAAGTCATTGATATCATAAGTAAGGAAAGACTCCTTTGTGTTGTTTAGTTATAATGACATGTTTTTAAAAAAAGAAATTTATGGTCTTTCTGTAGATAATGAAAAAGAATTTGGTGGTAATGTTCTAACACCAATTTTTATATCTTGTGATCCAAACAGAGATACCGTTGAGGTAGTTCGCGAGTACATTAGAGGTGAATCAATTTTTTATTTTCATACGATATATCTCGTCTCTCGTTCCTAATAATCTTTTAACTCTCCATAGATTTTCATGAGGACATGGTAGGATTAACAGGATCACACGAACAAATATCTAAAGTGGCCAAGTCATATAGAGTTTATTATAGTCAACCACCACAATTACAACCAGGTGATGAGTATTTAGTCGATCATAGTATATTTATTTATTTAATGAATCCAGATGGAGAATTCGTTGATGCTTATGGTAAAAATGTTGATGCTGAGCAAACTGCATCGAGTATTGTAAATCATGTAAAAGACTTCTTAGAAAGGGGAGGTGTTATTAAAAAAGAGGAAATTAAGTGAGAAGTGAACATACTTGTTCTTTATTTTAAATTTTGAAAAATGGTACATAAAAAATATAATTAAACTAAAATAAATAAAGTTATTAATATGCAAAAGAATTATAAATAAATTTAAAATAAATTAACCAATTATAACTTTTAATCGACCCTCCACTATAAAAAAAAATAAATACAAGTTAATATATATAAATTATTGGTTTTTTAATTTATTTAATTACACTTACTTGTAAATTTGAATTTGAAGGAATTGATTCAGGCTGATTGGAATTTTTTTGTTGTTCTTCAAGTTTCTTACTTAATTTACCACCACCTTTTATTACTCCCTTTAATTTAGCCTTGAAAAAAAAAAAAAAAAAAAAAAAAAAAAAATATTAATTAAAAATTAACCTTTTTTGAATATTTTTAATTTATTTTACTTACATCATCTTGCCTTTTTTGAGCAGCAGCAGCCATGTCTTCTCTCGAGGGCATTCCTCCAGTCTTAACACTAACACTCCCTACTGTTTTACCGTTATCAAGAGTTTGTACACCACTTGTATCTTTTCCTGTTTTTCCTGTTTTTTCATTTCCTACATTGTTTCCAATTGGATTATTATTGTTGTTTTCATTTCTCGTACCGAGTTTATGTCCTTGAGCTTTTTTCTTTTTTTTTGGAAAGCAATCACTAAATCCTTCAATTACATTTCCCATTTTCGAATTAATTGGTACAAAGAAGCTTCGTTTTTGGACATTTATTTAAATTACAAAAGCACGTGGTAATCTTTCCCTTTAAAAGAATTTTAAGAATTTTCCAAGCTGGTGATCAAATTTATATATGTCATCATTCATGTACTTTGCTTCATTTTTCGTCATTAATCCAAAAGTAAGATTGACGACATTCTAAAAAAAAAAAAAACCCACACCATCAAATGAAGAATTCGTTATAAAAAAGGTGATTTTGGTGAGGTAAAAAAAAAAAATTTTTTTTTCCCATTTTATAAATTCAATAACGATATGTCGGTAAAAAGTATAAAATATCCCTTTATCAACCATAGTACCATTAATGCTCAATATTCATTAGAATTACAAGAACACGTAAGTAATAAAATTAAAAAAAGTTCACATTTCATTCACTCGATTGGTTATTTGATCGTAATTATCTATCTTCGCTTTCCTTCATAGATGACAAGAGAAGAATTTAAGGAAAGAATTAATGAATTTAATAAAGCAGGAATTGAAAATCAAATAAATCGTGTAATTCTTTTACTTCCATTCATATTTATACTTGTAATTGTTTCGGTAACGTTACCGTTAGCACTTTTAAATGCAAGTTTCTATAATAGTGGTGGCAAACCATTTACCATCTGGATTATCACTATTGTGTCTGTAGTTATTAGTATAATTTTAAGTGTTTCCGTCTCTTATTTCCTTTTTTATAAATCAAGAACTAAACAATTCTTTTCAATGGTTGAGAAATTAAATGAATTTAATGCAATTGATAATCTAAGAGGAATCAATTGGAGAATTATATATGATGTTGATGTTGGACAGAATCCTCATGGTTATAATAATTTTTACCCCCATTATAACTCTCATAGGGTAAGTTAAACTTTTTTTTTTTGATATGTTAAAGGAAAACCCATTTTTTCCTTATTTTTTTATTTTATTTTTTTTTGATACGATAGTATCTTGTAGTCGAAATTGGACAACCTTCCGAAAATTGGTCACGTGTGCCACAAATTGTTATTGATGATAGTAATGTAAACGATAATACATCGTCCAATTCTTCAATTCCTCCCCCCACTTATGACGAGTCCGTTAAAAAATGAGAATGCATGCAATATTATTTTATTCAATCATTATTTTTATCCTTAAAATGTCTTTTATTAAATTATAACGTTTAATACGAAATTGTGCAATGAAAACTGAAATCAAAGAAATTAAAGTTTACCGCGCCAATAAAAACTTTATTTACATTATAATAATTTTTAAAAAAATCATGGAAACATTATTTAATATACATGTATTACATTAACAATAATTGCTACTACCGTAATTATACGAGGACAGACCAAAGATCAGAAAACAATAAATAAAATCAACTTACAACGGTAGTGGCTTGTTGAATCGAGAAGCCAGAACGATTATTAATCCATAAGAGTAGTGCGGCAGAGAATTGATAGAATCTATCACACCTGTATGATAGATTTTGAAAATTTCTTTGAAAATTTCAAAATCAGATCACACACATAGCGAAGGCAAAGATAAAACGCCAAACTATTTGAAGGCCAAATCCAAATCAAAAGAAAAAAATTTTCTTCTGATTAGACGCAATATAAAGGTTTGAAACTTTAAATGCGATTCTTATAAATCAAGGTTATTGAAATATTAGAAGATCGTGCAAGAGGCATGACAGGCCTTGTGACTAATTTTATTGGTCTCGAGTACCTATACGATTGGTCCGTAAGGGAAGCATAGCTAAATCAATATCAAGAAGAAGCAGTTCCCCTCCATACCTTCAGCTTGGTAGAGAAACTTGGCGCACTGCCAGATCTCTGCTAGTTATCAGCTAGTAATTAAACCCACTCCCAGCTATGCCCCATGATATACTGTATTTTTTTTACTGAGTTTTATATAAACTTAAAAAATTTTATAATAACTAGTGATAAATAAAGAGATGAAACCAGGAGATAATATGTCTTTAGTAAGTCCTGCATTTGTTGTCATCTTTTTGTCAGTATTTTTTTTGTTAATAAATAATTAATTAATTTAATTAATTAATTTAAAAGAAAGAAAAAAAGAAGTGAGAAGGGAAAGAAAAACAAGAAATAGAGATTGGAAAGGTAAAGTTATTAATTTACCTGTAATGTGTTAGTGACTTCTCAATGAATTTTCTGATCAATCGTAGAATACTTTCAGTTTTGAAAAAGTGATCACCTGAATACAGTTAGACTCTTTGAGATAAACATATCATTTTAAGATTTATAGTGTAGTTGTCTTTCTTTTTATAATTGCAACACCTTTTCTTATGATGTGAGCATTGTTATCTTTTTCTGTGACTGAATAAATTATATAAATTAGTGAAATTTTCATAGAAATTTTAGTCAATAAGTTCATTTTTTTCTCTTTTTAATAATTCTAAAATTCTAAAGAAAAAAAAAGAAATAGAATCCTTTCTTTTTTTATTTATTATTTAATTAATAATTATTATAATTATAAGAGAAAAAACTAATAGATTCTTTTTTTTTCTAAGACAAATAATAATAACAATTCATCAAGTTATTTTCTTTATTGAGAAAAATATGCATTATACATTATTTTTTTCTTTTACACATCATTAATTTACAAATCAATTAAAAAAAGAATTGCAATAATTCTTAATTAATATGTTTGATATTATCTTATTTTTTAGTTGTAAAAATTTATTTATTTGGTAAAATAGTTTGAAATATGTTATATAAAATAATATTTTTCTTTATTATTGTTATTTTTAACAGGATCCCAAAAAAGTCTCATATATGTAAGGTGTCAAGATGCTTAACCAATATAGAGCAGTTGCATAGGTAAAAATTTGTATTTGCTTAATTTTGGCAAAAATTTTTGCTAATGTTAGGCTATTAAAATGCTTAATTTTAGTCATTTTTTGTGATACTAAGGGGTTTCAATTGCTTAATTTTACCACATTTTTTGATCAGTATTATATGATTACATGATTTTTCTTATATATATATCTAAAAAATTTTTTTATGCGAGATTATCTTTTAGCTATTTTCTTTGCTTTAATAAATTATGCCATTGCATAAATATAGTAAGAAAAGATTGTTAAAACATGAGTATTGTGCTTATATAATAAATGTAAAAAAGGTAGTATGTAAATGTGACAAAACAGTTAAGTTAAACTGACGCTATAATGAAGACTATCTTGACCGCCATATTGCTAATTTTAGATGTAAAGTAAATGAGAGACAACATAGCATTTATAATTATTTTAAACCTGCTAAAAAAATGATGATAGTGATGAAGATGAAGGTTGGGATTCTGACATTTATGATAATATGGATGAAGATGATTTATTACAAGTAGATGAACTAGAAGAAGAACAAGATGATGATACACCTGCCTATTTTAATATTAATGATGAAGATTTGTCAAACACTTTAACAAAATCTAAAAAGCAGAAATTAATATGTTATAGACTTCAATCTGAACAAATATCTATGTATATTCAGCGTACTTTAGCTTAATTTAGGAGAACTTGTCATATTGAAATTGTAGTACAAAAATTATTTTCTAAACTATTTTCAACTAAATTCAATCAGAAAAAACTTAACTATTCTTAAAAAAGATAATTAAATCATGTTTCGTTTGCAGAAAGTGTTTGGCATATTGATCAAATAGGTAGGTTAATTTTAATAATATAATTTTAAAATAATAATATACTAAATGCATATATTTTTATATTAGCAAATTGTGTGCGCGCAAAATTGTATACAAGGATTGCAAAAAAAAGTAATATTTGTAACGAATATAACTCGTTTCATTCTAATAGTAACCTATCTAATAAAATTATAAGAAAAATTTTTTCAATTAATAATATTAAATTTATACTGAAGCATTACTGGAAAGATAATGCATTAAAAAAGCATTTACAAAATCTAGATCTTCGTGTTATTTGGAATCTACTTAATGATGATTATAATGATACAGCAAATTCTTGGATAAACTTAGCTGACAAAGTATTAAAGGGAGCATTTAAAGAAAAGCTAATATTTAATAGATTATGTGAAGTGATATGTAATGTTGTTAAGAGAAAATCAAAGAATTAGAGCAAGCAATATATTAAATATGCTGAAGAGTTTATAAATTTTCTTGTTATTTTAGGAGGAATTAGCTCAAGAGTATTGAATTTGTTTAGACAAAATTTAAAAGGACAAAGTTTTCGATCAATTCAGTAATATTAATATTTATTTTTATATTATTAGTATTTTATTAATTAAACTTTTTAATAGTTAATTATAATTATTAATAGATATTTGCATAATAATAATGAAGATTACTTAATCAATCAGGAATTGTGTTTTGAAAATGTAGCCTGATTTAAGTGGCTAATTGATACTATTAATTATAATGGTCCTATAGCTTCTATGTCAGATAACACAAAATTAAAAGAAAGATTACGATATTTACCTATTCTTGATTGCATTATTAGTTCAATTTTATCAGATAATGAAATTAAAATTAATGTATACAGTGATATTCCAAATGTTATTAATAAAATTAAAGAACAAAATGCAATAGTTAAAGATGTCTGTGCATATATTCTACAGGTACAAATTATTTATATGAATACTTTTAAATTTATTTAATAATTTTTAACTTTAAAATATTATTAGATCCTGTTACCAAAATTTCTTCTAGTAGTTATAGCACTACTTCTAAACAAAGGGTCTGATAGTACAAATACTATTACTAAATTGCATCAAACATTACTTGAAGGTATTGCTTCTCAATTAAAACATCATATTCTTTTGTTAGGTTCAGATGATGCGATAGTAGAATATCAAGCTCAATAAAAAATAATGAATTCTCTAACTGCTAAAAGACTTTCCATTTGTGAATCTATATTAAATATAAACTTTAGTTGTCCTATTCTTGAATCTATCAGTCCTGTAATTCATGTTCAAGATCTAAAGTACGCGAAAAAAACTGCA